GGAGGGGGAGAAGGGGCGTTCCTAAGAAAGATGACAAAAGATTATATTGGGGAAAGGAGGGGGGGGGTCTTTGGCCGAATTTTAGCTGACGTCATTTTGTGAACGATCCCTTTGATCTACATCTGTATTGAAATATTTGAAAACCCGTGAAACTTGCCCCACCTATTGGTGCACGGAGTCATTCCACCAAGCACCGAAGTCAAAGGTCAGAGTTGAAAGTTGACATAAAGTGTTTTCAAGATGTCGGTCAACCTGCGGAGGTCGGAACAGAAATAGGGCCTATGTTGAATGGTAACTTAACCTAACAAACCTCTAATTGTACGTTCAGAACTCACTAATACCAAGTCAGAGGGGATGATGATGCACTTACACGAGTAGAAGGAATAAGATGGATCCCATGCATTCTACCTTTACACTTTACGGTACCCTCTATGCGAGGTCTACCCACACTACATCTAGATCTAGATTTAGATCAAGAATATCTAGATCTAGATCTAGATCTAGATCTAGATCTAGAAAATCTAGTCTCTAGAATCTAGATCTACAAAATCTAGATCTAGATAATCTAGATCTAGATCTAGATTTAGATCTAGATTTAGATAGATTCTAGACAGATTCTAGATTCTAATTCTAAATCTAGTGATAGTGTAGTGTAGATATAAGATAGGCTTGATTATTTGATAGTGATAGATAGATGTTGTAGAATAAACACAAACATTCATTCTAGATCTAGATCTAGATTCTAGATCTAGATTAGATCTAGAGTCTAGAAGATCTAGATTAGTTATAGATTCTAGGCCTACATTCATAATATTAATCATAACCACCTTTTTTCCTTTCTTTCTTCTTGTAGGTGCTGTGTGGAACATAGTCGGATGAGAATTGGAAACTTGTAGACATTAGACCTGAACGTTCAAGCCAGTGAAGACGACCAAATAAAGAAGCTGAACATCTTTGTATAATCAGGATTTCTTGGACTTTTAGAAATTCTAAAATAGTGAGAAAAAGGTAAAAGAATGTTGGATGGTTCACAAGAATCAAAATTTCTTCCGGACATCCACAGCCCACCAGGTGTGAAGGCAGAGTCTCAGTATTTCATGAAGCCTTTGTTACCTCTTTTGGCTTTAGCTGCGGTTGACCCAGTTTCAGCGTCAGAGTTGGAAACAGAATTCATGAACAGTCACGGCTGCTCAAAACAGCACCAGGCAGCCACCAATGGTGGCCTTCACCTTGTGTTTCCTTCTGTTTCTGCCAGCTCAGAATCTCCAGAGACTTCGCAGTTTCCTGTGATTGGACGGTTTGCCCCGGCGCCAACGCGAGGTTCTTCGTCTTCTGTATCGGCATCGGTTGTGCCCTCCCCTCTGGTGCCGTCCTCATCTTCCTCGCCTACCTCTCCAGTGGTGCCTCAAGGGACCAGCACATCCGGCTCATCCAGCACGTCCGGCTCATCCCTCGCCCGGCCTTTCCCTGCAGAGCTAACGCCAACGGCAGAAAAAGCAAGTGTGACGTACGCACCACATCAAAGTGATCTTGGTCGGTTACGGAACTTACGCTATGGCATCCAGCGGGAAGGCGAGTTCGTATGCGGCTGGGGTGCAGCATTCATCAACATCTGCGTCACTTTCCCCATGAATAAAGCAATTTTTCGACAGCAGCTGCATAATATTTCGGGCATCAGGGCTTTCCGGCAGTTGTCGAGAGATGGTGTCCGCTACCTATACCGTGGCTTGCTGCCACCGCTCTTTCAAAAAACGATGTCTCTGTCGATTATGTTCGGCGCCTACTACCGGTGTCAGGATGGTCTGCGGTGGTACTTGCCGTCGCTCCACGTGAAAGTGAACCATACCATGGCGGCACTGATGGCTGGCACAATGGAGGCCATGTTCACGCCGTTTGAGAGGATACAGACTCTGATGCAGACCTCGGCGTATCACAGCAAGTTCTCCAACACGTTCGACGCCTTCTGGAGACTGGGCAGCTACGGCCTGAGCGAGTACTACCGAGGCTTCAGCCTCATCGTTATGCGGAACGGGCCCAGCAACGTCTGCTTTTTCTTGGGGAGAGAATATCTGCAGACGTGTGGCCCTCAGAACTTGACCGGGGGAAAGAAGGTCAGTAGCACAATCAGTTTCTCTAGTTTCAGACAAGAAATTTTTCAAATGTGACAAAACTGTTGAGTGTGCTTACTTGGAACACAGTGAATCCAAAAACAGTGGTAAACCAGAAGAAAATGGAAGCCCTAATCTTTGTCTTCACTATTTCAGCCATCTTTCTACACCAAAAACCCCAGCGGCCTGGCAGGTGCAAGCAGACTCCGCTGTATTTACTTGCTTCTCTCCACAGATGGTCAAAGATTTTGTCGGCGGAGCTTAATTTTGTCAATTGAATGTGTTTTCTTTTGGTCAAAGGTTTTGTCAGCTAAATGTGTTTTCTTTTGGTCAAAGTCAAAGGTTTTGTCAGCTAAATGTGTTTTCTTTTGGTCAAAGTCAAAGGTTTTGTCAGCTAAATGTGTTTTCTTTTGGTCAAAGTCAA